TACTAGCCTTGGCGATGTCAAATTCATCGTCTAATTGAGTTACTTGTGGAACGACATCCGAGTACAGGTGACGGCCGCTGCCGAGCAAACGGGTGCATAAACTGTAAGCGATCCGAGTGGTTTGATGACAACAGTGCGCCCATTGATGCATTGGTGTCGGCGAAGAATGCAGCGTATGCTGCGCATGTGCTGGTGTAGAGGAAAGGTTATATTCGCAAGCTTCGACGGCGACTGACCCGAGATTTCCGTCGCATCAAGAATGCATAGTGGATGGAAAACAGGAAGCAGATGAAATGCTGCGCCGAACGCCGCCAGCATAATGAATTCTTTGACTTCGTGAAAGCGGTCTGTGGACCCGCGTGGCAGCCGCTGAGAACGCTGCTCGATAATACTTCGGGCGCTGCCTGGACGCAGGCAGCAGACATAATGTAGATTTGGCGAAAACATGTTGACTGTATCTTGAACAACCGTTCAGAGATTGACTGAACTGTATTGCGCGGGCTGCAACAACAAGAGGTGAAGACGTGTCTTGCCAACACACCGACACTGGATGAGACGCAGAGCACTCGCTCAACTGCGAAACGGCAAGTGCGCCGGCGCCGACGGGCTCCTGCCTGAAGTATTGAAACACGGCGGACTCACATTGGTGAATGCATTGCACCACGTGGAGCAACGGGTGTGGGTTGAGAAAAAGGTGCCTCCTGAGGTGAAGGATGCCCTTGTGTTACCACTATACAAAAGCAAAGTAAGCAAGTAATGTGCCACGAATTATCGTGGTATCAACGCTGTTGTGTGGGTAAGGAGATCGCTCGAATTCTGCTCAAGCGCCTCGTCACTCAGGTCGTTGAACCGAACGTGGCAGAAGAGTAACGTGGATTCCTTTCGGGCGGCAGTACCATAGACTTGATGTTCCTGGCTTGTCGGTTGCAGGAGTGCTGCAAAGAGCGACATGAGCCACCGTACTCATTGTTTGCTGACTTTACCAAGGCATTTGATACGGGTGAACCACGAGGTACTGTGGCCCGAGTTGGGTAAGTTGGCTGCCCTAATTGAGTACCTGCACTGTGGTGTGCGGGCGAGGGTGCAGTTGAGTGGACAAACCTGGGATGATTTTGCTGTTGTCTCTGATGTGAAACACAGTTGTGTCTTAGCCCCTGTTATGTTTGATATTTAACTTTGATGCTGCTTGTGATTACGGTGTCCGTGTGGAGCAACGTGTTGATGGTTGGTTAGTGAACATTCGTCGTTTCGGAGCGAGAACCCTAGTGTGAGACAACCATCTGCATGTTGGTATTTGCCGACGACTGTGCGTTGCTTGCACACAGCGCAGATGAGTTGCAGCACATGATTCTGGATCTCGCTTCGACAGCAGCCAAAATCGGGCACACCACCAACACGAGCAAGACTGTTTGTCATTTCCAGCTTTCACCAGGAATGGAGTATGTGGACCTGTCCAAATGTAGGTTGCCAATGAGGTGCTGGAAACAACATCCAAATGCTGCTATACTGGGAGTGTACTACAAACCGACCTCCAGATGACGAACAAGCTGCGCATGAGCTTATCGAAGGCGGCTGTCGCATTCGGAAAGCTGGATAAACGTGTGACGAACAACTTACCAATGGAACGAAACTGCTGGTAGACAAGTCTATGGTGCTGTCCGTTCCACTATACGGCAGTGAAACGTGGACGATATACCGGAAGGACGTCAGATATTTGGAGCGCCTCGGTCAACAGTGTCTACAACGGATTTTGAACACCGGCTGATGCGAAAGGGTTGCAGACATGGAAGTGATGTGACGCAGTGTCATGTATGCAGTAGACGACATAATTCTCCTGCGGTACCTGAGGTGGATCGGGCATATCAGTCGCATGGATTCGACGCGAATACCGAAACAGTTGCTTCATGGCCAACTGCGTGTAAGGAAGCGGCACGTAGGAAAGCCGAAACTACGCCACCAGAACATGAGCAAGATGAGATTATCACGAACTAAGGTTGTTTTCAAGTGTTGGAAATCAAAGGCGGTTGATGGGCGTGAATAGCGTGAGCTGATCAAGAGGGCGGTTCCTCAGGTTCAGCAGCAAGCATCATTAAAGGCGGAAGACAAACGCCGGGTACAGAAGCGACAGGCGCCCATGAAGTCTACCTTATCGACGTCAAGCGCATGGTGCTGTAGCACATAGGGTCGCGTAGAACTGAGCAAAGCGGGTTTGGTAAGCCACCAGGGTGGCCGCGTGGGGCCAGCATCCAAAAGACGAGGAATCAGCTGTTTATTTAAGTGTAACAAGCGCAGCGATTAGTAGGGGCGCTGCGTTCGCATCCATTCCATTTACTAACCCAGACTAATAAGGCAGCTGATGTGGTAAGTGTGCTGCATCATCGTGGCAGGTGGTCTGTAATTGTGTCTGCGGATTGAGTTTCTTGCATTTCGGACGCTGGTTTCTGGTTGATATCCCCGGAGTGGCTGCGCTTGATGTGAATGTTGATAAAGTGCCTAGCTGTCTATTACCCATCACCTCGTCTATACTGGCTCCAGAGACAGGTGGTCGTTTCTGGAGAGGACGAGTTGCACGATCCTCATGATGGTGCTAGGCTCAAAGAGTGGCTCGATGCATCCAGTGTGGAACTGGCTACGGCCCGGCCACCGCCTTGTGTACGTCTGGTATGCGATTCCCAAAGTGGATAGATAGGAATGATGCTGCTGTGCGTCTTAAAACCATATGAGAAGGATCCATTGATGAAACGTGGCTCGCATCCACATGCACTTCGACCTTATTCCCTTGGGTTCATACTGGATATAGGGTGTGCGGATGGAGCTGTAGATGGTTCAGCGCAAGCCACTCATGGTTCATCTGTATGCGCAGGCGTCCTGTGGCTGTCCTATGGAGGCCACAGTGACAGGAAAATCTGGAACCGGATGCCACCAACCATATATAGGTTGCAAACAGCTAGAAATTGCAAACTAGGTTTAGTCGTAACTAGTGTTCCTCTGTTACAGAAGCAGAAACCCTAGGAACTTCTCCGAAGAACGTGATTTAATGTGAACCGTTGTGGACGAGGGTGTCAAGCTACGCAGAGCAGCATCGTCTAATCAAAATGTACAAATACAATGCAACCATAATACTCGAGATAGCTCACCTGAAGGCGAACCCGTGTCCAAATGTGTTGGGAAACCGCGGATTCGTTGATATGATATTTTTGGGCAGTGGATTGCACTGAGTGTGTGGTTTCCAGTACACAACCAACTGGCATGCAAAACTGGATTCTAATGTGGTGTCGACTGGTGGCTGAGTGGTCTGCACGCTTGGTTTGTAATCACAAGTGCAGAACATGCACTGGCGACTGCTTGGAATCGGAATTGCTGTTCATCATATAGACGCTAAGGGCCAACGGATATCCGGAAGAATTTCTATGATTTCATAGTCAACTGAAGGAAAACAGGCCGAGGGTACTTACTGTGCCCAAAGTGCCTGTCTACCTTTAAGTACCTTTCAAATATGATATCGCAGCCGCCCAATTTGAAAGAGGTTTGCATACAGCGGTCCGCCGGACATTCAGTGCCGCCAAATTCTGCCCAATTTGAGAGATTAGGAAGTTGCGTATGCGTCCAATGAAGCCTACTCAACAGTTCTCCGCCACAGATCATTGTATTTACCAATTCGTTTGTAACTGCGGAAGTAGTTACATTGGCAGAACAGATCGATCCTTGGGTAAGCGCACTGGAGAGCATATCCCAAAATGGATTTCTAAGTTATCGACACAATAGACAGCCGAACAAGAAAAAATAGCTAAACCGCGAGCATCATCTATCGCCAGACATCTAATCGAAATAGACCATCAGGTTGACCCTGAGTCAATATTTACAGTTATCTATCGAAATGAAAACCCCAAAGTTTTAAGGTTCGTTGAAGTTGCGGCCTTTAACCGGCATCGCCCTATGCTTTGTGTGCAGAAACAAGTAACAGTTTCCCTAAGGCTTTTTTAGGGTTCGTGACCCTATGGTCAAGTTCGTCGATCTTGGGTCTACGCAATCTCCCTTTGTGACCAGTTTCAAAACTTCGATTTTTCTGTCACCTGATTCATATTGGTGTTGCTTTGCGAGTGAGCGGATAACACGAAATGGTTCCATCTCGCAATACCAATCTTCTCATTGTCTAAGCTAGAACCATAAAATCACCGCTTCGAATGCGCGTAAGGATAGGCGTCCTCGCGGTATACTCAGCCCGCGCGAGATTAATGGTGGTCGCGCTGCAGCGAAGCGCCGTTACGGCGTACAGTTGACATATTGTTGTTTTGTTGTCGAGGTTCGCACACCCCTCTGATCGACTGGGCCATACTGCGCGGTGGGATTTTTAATGCAAAGAGATGCTCACAATAATGTTTAGACGTTAGGCAAACTCTGTTATCTCCTCTGCACCATTGCGAAATTCCCAGTGCCATGAGACCAAGATTAACGGTGCATAACCTTTAGTGTAGGGACGCAAGTATATAGGCATTAGCTGTGCGCTGATAGGCTGTACCGACGCTTCGCTGCCGTGCAAATACTACCAGTCGCGCGTGAGCTAAGCGTACTGCGAGGATCGCCAGGTCCCCAACGCAGGCTGGAACCCGCGACCTCAGGATTACAAGCAGGCTTCTGAACCCCTGATTAAGCTTAGGCATTATGGTAACGTCCCAGCGTATGCAAGACGATGGTTTACGACAGTGAAACATCAGTGTAAGGGCACGGATGTGATGCTGTTGATAACATCAGTCTCTTTTACAATAAAGGGAACAATTTCCACAAGCACGTATATTATGTGAGTTGAAGACGTTTAGGTAAGGTGAGAAATCGAGGACAGACACTAGTTTAGTGTAGACAAACACAGCATTTACCACAACGTGCAGCTTGGAATAAAAATCGTTTACAAGCAAATGCTCCAACACAATAGTTGTACGCTCCGGCTGGGATGATATACAAAAGTTAGCAGTTACAAGTGGATAGATTGTCACAAGAATTACCTTTCCCATCTTTCCTTCACAAAGAAACGCTTGAGCTACCATAGCGAACTGAGATGAATTGGACAACGTGCACACAGGTCGATTCGCCTGCATAAAAAATAAACCCACGAACAGTTGTGTAGTGTAGTGATAGTGGATAATTGATAAGAAACGAAGATGATAGAAAAATGTTCCAGGCAAGAACTTGCGAGAAAATCAGAACAGTGTGTTAGTAGGGCAAACAAGTTGAATAGTTGTAGAATAATCAGGATAAATAACAGAAAATATGTAAAAAGTGTTAACAAGATTAAGCTCACACCGGTGTACCTATCGAGGAATATGCAATAAAAACTGTGAACGCATGAGAAATGAAGACAAATGGGACGTTTGCATAAGCCGTATCACATAGTAACCTCGTTCAAGAAGTGAAAAATGTGAAACGTATCTTGGGAACTGACCCGCGGCGCGTCTTTTTGCAGAGACCCGTGTTTAGCGGTGGGCAATGAGTTAGATGAGATGATATATGGAAATGAATGCACATTCAACTTGGGTTCCGAACTCTACCAGCGTGGGAGCGCAGATGACAGATTCCGAGAGGGCATTCCGGGCTTGGCAAAGACATAAGAAATAGAAATTCCGATGGCATTATAAATGACTGTGCTGCTCTGCGAGCTTGTGATGCACTTAGATTGCTGTAGTGACCAGGCATCAACAGTACGATGACACCGATGTTGCGCTGCCATGCGAGCACTGCGTCGCATGAGCGCTGAGTATAAAACCGCGAGGTTTCTCGCACCTGCGCTGTTGAGAGTGAGCACCAGTAGATGGCGGCACGAGTGGTTGGAATCCCTCAAAATCTGCTGAGATATCGTAAGGTCCCTAAACAATCGCCAATATTGGCAGCAGAAGATCGCAAACACTCTAGCCTCTGCGTATAGGGCAAATGATATCAACCGTTGACGTCCTTGGTTGCCCGGCGTTCAGGTAGCGCCAAAGCGGTGAGACCTTTCGTCAGCTGTGGCTGCTAAACCTGCATTGTATATTACATATGTTAACGCACGTAAGCGCAGAGAAGCTGTCGAAAAATCGATGGCTTGAAGTGTCTAAATGCGCACCGCTGAACACCCGCGTTTTCAATGCCACTTATGATGATTTTTCAGCCTGATCCTAATGGGCAAGGTCGGCCTGGATCAAAACACAGATCAGATTCGCTGGAAGATGTTTGAAGTCCATCATCGTCCAATTTATGGCACTACGCTAGTTGGTGCTGCAAGTGCAGTACCCTACCTTTTTCCACATTGAGCTACAGTAGATTTTGGATTAGCCACTCATAAACCTAATCCAGATCGGCCTGAAGTAGAGTAGGATCAGCTGATGTATTGATCGCTCCCCACACCTTGGTGCTATCGGCATAGAGAAAACAGTTCGAGTTTAGGTGTCATATCTTTGATATACATCAAGAACAACTACGGCTCTAATACCGACCATTGTCGCACTCCGCATTTGAACTGGCTGAGATCCAACAGCGATCAGCGTACTTTCACCGCCAAGTGCCGGTAGAGGAGAAATCTGCTGATCCACTCTCGGAGAGGATCACCGATGTTGAAGCTCCGGAGTTTGAAAAAAGGATACTATGGTCAAAACGATACAATACCTTAGAAAAATCGAGACAGAGTACAATACACAGTATCGTGCATTGTACGCAATCCATGCATCACATACATAGGATTACGTCCAGTTGACCAGTCTGGCGGTAGATGCACAGAATCCATCAGTGAATTAAACTCGTCTATTTAGTAGTCACTTTGCCACGCCGACCATGATATGCTCCGTCAGGTTACCCATTTCTAGCAGTATCATAATGAAACGGTTAAATTAGAACGGATGCAGATCCGACTAATGCACATTTACCACTGCCAGCCAAAACTCTGACAAACACAGAAGCTTTACCTAGCTACCATGTGTGATGACTGCATACGAGCACAACACTGCAACCAACTGGCGGAGCATAAGGCGCATAAGGCTTCATAAAAAAAGTTCAACGCCACTCGTGTTCAATCCTACACAAATTCCACGGTTCATTAACAGACAGTGAGTGTCTAAACAAATGCGATCAAATTGTTGACAACATTGCTTCCAAAACCCTGAAAATAATTGCTGATAGGACGTCTTTACAAAGAGTACTGTTGCATAGACAACTACAGGTCAATTTGTTTGACATCTGTTTTGGCAAAGGTTGCTGAGAAAATCGTGCAGAAGAGATTGTTGCAGTTACTACAATCAAAAGAGGTCCTGATGCCGGCACAGCACGATTTTATGCAACGCCGCTCATACGTCACAAACTTGCTTGTGACAAGGCATGTGTGGTTGCAGGTAATAAGCAACGGGAAGTCTGTCGACGTGATACTCATCGATTTTATTAAAGCGTTCGATAATGTCAGCCACGAGATTCTCCTTCACAAACTCAGGATGTGCGGTGTCGGTAGCTCAGTGCACCAGTGGATCCGCGACTTTCTTCTTGGACGAAAGTGGAGGGTACAGGTCGAACACCATCTGTCCGACTGGTATCCCTCTACAAATGGCGTACCTCAACGCACTGTACTGGGGCCCATTCTGTTCCTAATTCACATCAACGATCTACCTCAGCTGCTCCGGTCACCATATGCCTTGTCTGCGGACGACATGATTATTTGGAGAGAAATTGACGCCCCCGATGACTGTGGCCTACTTCAGCAAGACCTCAACCGCCTATCCACATGGTCTGCAGAAGTTCATCTCCTGGTCAACCCAGCCAAGTCTGTATTTATGAACCTGTGGAAGGGTGCTGAATTCCGAACTTACACTCTTGCCGGCCAACCGCTATATCCAACATCTTCCGTGAAGGACTTAGGTGTACTTCCGCGCTGCGATTTGCAGTCCGTGGACAATCCGAACAGACTATATTGTAACAGACTGCGCATAGTTTGGGCGTTCAAACATAGCTTCGGTACATGGTCTGAAGAGATTGCCACTCGCCTCTTCTCTACCATCATTAGACAAATGCTAGAGTACGGTTCGCCCGCCTACTTTCCGAATACCCGAAGCGAGGCACGGAAGATCGAACAGGTCCAACAAGTTGCTACCAGGCTCATCCCGAGTTTACGTGGCTTGCGGTATGAAGACCGGCGCGAGGGACTAGGACTCTATACCTTGTCGGGTGCGAGTCGACCTCATTATGACCTACGGCATTCTACATCGCGATGACTTCTTCATGCTGAGACCAATGCTGTACTTACGAGGGCCATGCAGCACAAGTGTACACAGATGCAAACTTGTGGTGCCAGATGTGAAGTGAGTTCCCAACCCACTGTGCCTCGAATGGAGTGGTAAATATTTGGAACAGTTTACCTGTACATTTGATGGAGGCTACATTTGTGCAGCAGTCGAAAACGTTGTTGGATTTACATTTTACCACTATTCGATTCAGAGAGCGATTGCACACTTACGACGACATCTTACATTTGTGAGTCCTGCAATACCGTGAGTGATATTTTAAATGTTACATGAGAACGATAACGATATTCACGGCTGACAATTGTTATAAGGTTTATCACCATATTTCGAAGGAGTTGTATAGAACTCATTTCTACTCGATTCACAATACAGTACTGAGTAGTCTATTCAATGATGAGACACACTGCCCCTCACCAATGTTTCCGCATCTACACTGGACTCATCTTCAGCTGCATAACCGACACAGCTACTGTAGGGGTACCTGTAAAAGAAGACACCTCTAACTAATCCGCCAGCATAACAAACCTCCCCGACTCTCCGACAATGGCGATGGGTGCGGCAAATATCCTAGAACTTCCGAGTTCTAAAAGTAAGCGCAACCACCGCCATTAACCTGATAAATGTCAATCAGGCAAAAGTTACGTAATGCAGGTACAGAACACCAGAAATAATAATGTTGATCTAGACATCACATTACTCTCCACCCACATGGGCCACCAGTGAAACAACTGAATTCATAAAATTAATACGCAGCTTACAAACAGTTCATTAACTGGGGCCCATGACCGGGACCCAGCACTTCACATTGCCTGCTTATGAGTTCTACCGAACACACCTCCATAAACATGAAACAGCAGATCCTCAGGAACTATATACTCCCCACAAACAGCCACACCCTTGAGGTTTAGAGATCTCTCAGTATGGCCAACCCAGGCGAAATCGCTCACTAATATTAGTAGGTATACCACAAAGCCCAAGAAATTCTCAAGAGATCAGTATTCTTGTTCTGAATGTTCCTGACTGCTGATCTCCAAGATACTTTCTATGAAGCATCCATTATGAAGCCTCACATGCTTAAAGCCATTAGACTAGCTAAAAGGTTACATGTTTACCAGTTAGATTTAGTTCTACTGATCAATCCACATTGGAAACGCTGATTGGAGAGCTTAGTACTATTAGAAAAATCCCTCACTTAGCTAACGCATTCTTCAGTAAGTTAGTGTCGCAACCCTATGTTTTCACCCCACCGAAGGCGTCTACTGCTTTTATTCTGGGTACAACCCATAAAACCACAGATCTCCCCCCCCCCCAAATATCCCTTCACCCACCCACACGAAAGACAAAATGAGCTGTTTTTCTTAGGAGGTCTGGGGTGGCAACTCAATGTTTTCCCTCCCCAACAAGTCTTCGGTTTTTTCCACAAAAGTTCACATAGCGATTCAAGCCTAAATTTCATACCCAATCCTTACTATCAAGTACACTTGAGTAGTGCCGAGTATTGTCTTAAACATATCTAAAGCCATGCATTAGCTTTAATGATCTTTGCCCGCTGCTGCTACCTTTACACCAGCTCATAAATTTTCAATTCCTATAACCACTTGCTGTCGTCTACCGACAGTTGGCAGGCTCTTATTCTATTGACAACTGGTCTGAAAACTTGAAATCATGTATTTTATCGATATCAGATAATTCCATCTTCTGCCATACAGTAACAACAACTTCCAGCCTTACCCCAGATACCAGAGTCATTGCCACTCAAATCGCAATTCCTCATCACCAGAAATTCAGCTCAACGTATTCAAGCAGTTGGCGCACCTACCTACTCAGACACAATA